AATAGTTCAGCGTCTTCATGCGGCTCTTCCATTGAGTGTAGATTCGCACTTGACTTCATTGACCAAAATGCATGGCTTACAAAATCCATTACACCTTGTAGACTTGACCAAGTTGTAAATAACCACAAAACATTAATTGCAGTAACCGACTTCAAAAGTTACAAATTTTCTTTATTCTTAACTAAAATTTCTTTAGAAAATCAATGATTTTGATGTATTCTCGTTGTGAACGGACTGGAATTTGTTATAACACAGTGTTCTGTGTATTTTTTAGCGACACCAATCCGGCTTATGGCAAACTCCGAACCACACTACTTCTGATATAACACGAAAACGTGTCAAGTGATTTGCATGTAATACACATTTTTGAAGAAAAGAATAGCGTCATTGAAGCCATAAYTAAAGAGTTTGAAATTATAATGACAACAAAATCAATGAAAGCAAAACAGCTTCACTCAGACCGATTACGCGATGATGTTTTTAGCGTGCCTCCCACAACACAAACTAGGATTTAATTTTTCTGCTCGAAATGTGTTACAAAGGTTTTTCTCGTAAGTCGACTTTTTCTGTTTCTGTTTTATTAAGCTGTTTTGAATCAAGAAAGGAAGGATTATCTAGGGCTTTGAAGATTTATTGGATGAATATATTGATCATTTTGTTGGACAACAAATCTTTTGTTCTGTTTTTCAAGCCTTACAAGGATTTTTAATTTCCACTTACAACAATGTAAAATAATACATAAAAAAAACATAAGGGTAAATTATTATGGCGGTAGAGTGCAGGAATACAACCCAAAGGGTTAATGAGAAGCTTCAAACACCCTAGTATTAATTAGATAAAAATATGGTTGAAAGTAGCGGAAAAGAGAATTACAAAAGTGTGAATAAGTATAGTTTGAGAATTTAAAATATTGAAAATTGAATACAAATAATCTATAATACACAAGCAAGCAAAATAAGTAGTATTATTGAGATAATAAAAAAAAATTATAACGTGTTTTAAACATCTTATGAGATAAACTTGCTTTTATTTCAAAAGACACATTGTTCCAGCTTACCGCACTTGCATATTTCACGCCAAATTAACCATAATTCAATTTTACATGGGGCAGAGAGAGATGTCTATTTGATGCAGAGCGAGTATTGTAGCTGTGAGAAAAATGAACTTCTTTTAAAGTAGTATTTGAAAATGTCGGGCAATTGTTGATTTACATGTTTATATGCAATTTCACAGAGCTGAAACTTAACTATCTCGAAGACGTTTAGAATTCCCAGTTTTTGGAAGAGTTGCCAACTGGGAGTTCTTGGGTTTGAGAAAGTAATTATACGAAGGACTCGGTATTTATATAGGTATTTATACTTCTTGATCCTGGACTATCAAAAAACGAATCATCACTTGTGGAGAAGACAAGTACGAGGACTGGGTCAAGCTACATGGTTACAAGGCCAGGCTGCGAAAGGTTGTCATGGTGATAGACTGCAGCAAAAAACTACGCTGCTTGTCACAACGTACTTTGATAGGTCCTTTAATTTCTTACATTGTTATCATTTCATTTGGAATGTTTGCCTCATTATCTTAAGCCGTCGCCTAAACTTCTTCCTCCATGTTCCTTCCCCTTATTTCTGTCGGCGCT